CTTTTCCAGGCACATCAGCGGGAGCTGCTGCTGCAGGTGGTGTCTTAACCCAGTGCGCCAGCCCGGCCCCTTAACCAGCGTCTTAACTGCTAAACAGCCCTGAAAGTCTGTTTTAAGACAACACAATCATTGTGATCTTGTACTTTTTTAATGTGAATTTTTATTTGTTTTCCTTTTCTTTAAAAATTAGAGACAGACAGAGCTTCCATCTACTGGTTCACTCACCAAATACCTGTAGCAGCCGGGGCTGGGCCGGGCTAAAGTCAGGAGTCTAGAACTCCATCCGGGTCTCTGCTGTGAGTGGCAAGGCCATCTGCGGCCTCCAGCAGCACGAAGCTGGACTGGAAGCAGAGGAGCTGGGACTTGGCACGAGGCCCTCTGATGGGGGATGGGGGCCACTCCCACTGCCCCAAGCGCCCACCTCCACTTTCAGTTTTGTTATGGTTACTATTTTAGAAATGAATGGGCGTTCTTTCTGTGCTGAATACAAATTGGTGGGAAACTGAGTCCCCTTTCTGCCTTCCAAACCACTGGAAATGGTCGTTGTAACTTGGGGTTCACTTCTGGTCTTTATCTTCCCCAAAGCCAGCCCCCTGTTGACGGTTGAGCAAGTGGTGGTTGGGGAATCTTCAGGGTGAATGAAGGAAAACCCGCAGGAAAGTGTGTGTGTATGCAGTGAGACACGGGAGCCGGTGCTTCAGGGATAGGTGTTTGCAGGCCCCGCCTCTGAGCTCGTGGTTGGAACCTGGGTTTTGCCAGCAAGGACAGGCCCGACAGCCTGTGGTCCCCCCAAAGGCTGGCTGACGCGCATTTCTTGTGTGACCCTGCAGGCCGGCGTGTTAGAGTCTCCAGCTCCCACACCACTCTTTGCCACTGGGAAGACGGGCACCGTGCACCGCGGGCCGGGCAGCACGCTGGGCCAGGAGCACGGCCACGCACCATCACGCCTTCCCGGCAGGCCAGCACAGCCGCAGCACAGAAGTTCTTGTTTTAAAGAAAGGGTTTATTTATTTATTAAGAGGCAGAGCCGCAGAGAGAGAGGTTCCGTATCCACTGGTTCACTCCCCAAATGGCCACAGTGGCTGGAGCCAGGAGCTTCTTCTGGGTCTCCGCGTGGGTGCGGGGGCCCAAGCACATAGGCCATCTTGCACTGCCCTCCCAGGCATAGCAGAGAGCTGGATTGGAAGTGGAGCAGCCAGGACACAAACCAGCACTGACATGGGATGTCGGCGCTGCAGGCAGAGGCTTAGCCTACTATGCCACAGCACCAGCCCCAACGCAGAATTAATCCTAAGTGAGTACCAAACTCCCCACCCCCGCGATGCACCGCACAGTCACCACCACGGCTGTGCACCGAGGCACTGTGGAGTCAGGGCAGCGGTCAGCAACCCTAGCCAGAGGCCCATAGGGGCTGCCTTCCTTTCCTTTCCAGGGCCACCCCACGTCGCTGGCTTCCGTATTGGAAGTATTGGAAGTGCTCCCCTCTTTCGGTGTGCATTTTCCTGTGTGTGTTGTTTTTTTTTTTTAATTTTTATTTTTTGTTGCTCTTGGTCCTTCCACGACATCAAAGGGCGATCTTCTCCTTGGCCCTCCTGATCCCATGGGGTATGGCCCGGGGCCAGCAGCAGCCGCGCCTGCTGCTCCCAGACAAGGCCCACGCTCCTTGCGGGGACCCCACCCGGCCCCAGATCGAGGCTGCTGTGCCCCTAGTACTTGTGCTGGGCGTGCTAGGACGTGCCCTGGGGTCGGTCAGGGCCGCCTCGGGGCTCCTGCGGCGGTGCAGAGTCTCAGCGCCCAGTGGAGCAGGGGGCGAGGGAGGCCTCTCCAGACTCAGCCCTCGGCCTGGCCCCCATTGCTGGGCCTCCCAGGATGGCCTCTGTGGGCGTGACCCCTCTGCTCAGCTGTGCAGGAGCCCTGCCTCCCTCTCTGCGGCTCCCTGCATGGAGCCTGGAAGACCCGCAGCACAGTAGCAGCCCCTTGCGGGGAGCGGGAGTCCATGACCCCATCGCTGCCCTCCTCCCCGTGTCCACCTCCCTGAAGTCTGAACTCCGCAAAGGCCAGAGCGGACGCAGAGACAGTGGTTCCTTCCATTCGAGCTCTGGGGAAACAAAGGCGTCTGGCAGGCTGCTGTTTGCGTGTGCTGTCTCTCCAGGGTCCATGTGCTAGAGAGCCTGGACAGGGCTGGCTAAGAGTAGACCAGGCTCGCCACTTGCCAGCTGTGTGGCTTTGGGCAACTTACTTAACCTCTCCGATTCTTGCATTATTTTATCTGTGAACATAATTCTACCTACCTTGCTCTAGGAATTTCAAAACATTAAATGTGTAAAGTTCCTAGAAATCACACCGCAGGTTTGTAAGCATTTAGTAAAGTGTTGATCAGCCTTTCCATGTTCAGATGTAAAAAACTGAGCCTCCCCACCCCCCACGGACCTGATTTTGTTCTCCAGTGACAGTGGAGGGGAGTGTGACTGACAGGTGAGACCCTGACTTTCTAAACCGCAGGTGTGTGTCACGCGAGGACCATTGCGTGACGGGACCAGCCCTGACACCCAGCGCGCTGGCTTCTAAGTCTTCCATCTTTGTTGTCACTTTATGGGTTTTCTTAAACCTGTAACAGCATCGGCATCGTCTTGTGATTGCAGCGCTGAACAGTGAGTGCTAGCTTGGGGAGAATCGGAGGTTAGGCTGACCGATTCCGTCATTCCGTCCTCTGCCCAGGTTCTGTCCTGACTCTGCTACGCCCTCACCGTCCACAAGTGTGTTGAGGAGCCGTTAGTTACGTGTGAAACTGGACTCGGTAGAGGCTTAAAAAGATGACTGTCCCTTAGAATGCCTTTTTGCAGGGATAATGTTTTGTGTTGCAGTTTATTATTTTTTTTTTAATGACACAGAGAGAGAGAGAGAGAGAGAGATGGTCCATTCTCTGGTTCATTCCCCCAAATGCCCACAACAGCCAAGGCTGAGCCAGGCTGAAGCCAGGAGCCAGGAGCTCCATCCAGGTCTCCCACAGGGGTGGCAGGGACCCAAGCTCCAGGGCCATCTTCCGCTGCTTTCCCAAGCACATGAGCTTGGCGCTGGACCGGAAGTGCAGCGGCCTGGACTCGAACCAGTGCTCTGATGCGCGCCACCATGCCTGCCCGTGTGTATTTCTGTTAACAGGTGTTTCTTAGCCGCTGCCTAGTGCAGGGTTCACTTGGGCCCAGGCCATCCTCCCAAGAGGTGTACGTGCCCAGCGTGTGGCACTGGGGCCAAGCCCACCCGAAGACACCGCAGGAGCCGGCGTGGGTGGTTGGCACTTGCTTGGAGAGGAAGTGAGGAAGGAGAGCCCTCGCAGGGTGGGGGCGGCCGCTGGGAGGGGCCCTGGAGGGTGGATCCCAGCTGCCTGCGACGGAGGCAGACACAGTCCTCGACTTGGAGGCAGCCTTCCGGGAGACGTCCACTCTCCGTCAGGGAAGGGTGAGCCTCAGTGAGTTTTCGGCTAGAAACTGAAGGAGCCGCCCAGCTGTCCCGTCCATGCCGCGCTGCCCTGCTGGAGAGACAGCTCAGAAAGGAACCTCAGAGGCCCGAGTTGTGGCGGCAGAGCACAGGATGGCGGCAAGTCCAGAGCCACATCTGTCCTCGGGCCTGCGGCAGGGGGGTGGCGAGACACCCATGCGCCTGGGGAGCTGAGAACTGACGGCTGGAGTCACACTCGCTTCTCCCAGACCTGCAGTCATCCAGCCCCTGAAGAATGCTCTTTGCTGGCCCTCGTTGACTGTACAGAATTTCCCTGGAAGAAAGGAAAAGAGGCTTAAACCCCTGGTACTGTGACTTTTCAAATGGTTTCCCCACAGCCTGAACGCCGAGTCACTGAACACAGGCACACAAAGGGAGCAGCAGGTGTGTGGCTGATGCGACTTTTTGCAGAGGTTGACTGCTATCCTTGAGAGCCACGTGGAGATAGTGGGATGGGGTTGTGACTGACTGGGGACAGGTGCACGGAGCGGGGTCCCCTCCTCTTAGTGGCTGTGCTCCTATGATGAAGCATCACCTGCCCAAGCCTTGAGGAGCTCTTTGGAGAGACACTGTGCCCAGGGACAGCGTGATGCCGGTGGCAGAACCTCCTTGCCACTTGCCGGCCTCTCCTCCTGCACCGAGGTCTCCCTGGGAGAATTGAGCTGCTGTGTGGGCCCATCTCCCTCCCTCTCCCCAGTCTCGGCGCCAGTAGACAGGAAGTGACACTGGGTGACAGCATCTCCTTCAGATCAAGAAATACCCTTCTCTTTGCCAAGATAAGGGGAACTTGACCCTCAGAGAGCCAACAGGTGTCTGCACCTTGGCGGGGGCGGGGGCGGGGGCAGCTCCATGCGTCAGGAGCGTCTGCAGCTACTCCCAGCCACGGCCTGACCCTAGCAGAGAAGCCTGCCAGCAAGCTGTGCCGAGTTGATGTCCCACGGGTGTGGGGACACTGTGTTTTGTTAATGGAACCTAATTTCAAAAAGCTAAATAGGTTGAGAAGAGTCTTGGAAATGCTTTCTCACGTATTCATTGAATCGAAAAATTTAAGAATTTTTTTCTTAAATGCCATTCCCATAGTGCCCATTTGTTTTTCATTTCTTGACATCTGGTTTTGGATGTAAGGATACCTAGTGGTGTTAATAGAGTCAGACCTCTGAAACATTAGAAATGGATTGTGCCAGCTATTGTAATTCCTGTTCTTATTTCAGGTTCCCCCTTTCTTGCTTATATTCCTTGACATAAATAATAATTTGAAACAGTTGACATGATTAAAAATGTATAATTTACTTGTGGAACTTAACATTATTTAGATTGTTTAAAATAGCATGTTAAGTAGTTACCTAGCCACAGAGCTTAGCCTCTCTCTCCTGGAAACCATGTATTTAAGAAAACCTGGAAAGTGTCAGCCCCACCCCTTACGTGAATGCGTCTTTAGAAGTGACGCCAGGCCAGGCGGCCGCGGCGCGTGGTCAGCGTGTGTGTGCTGTGCTCTCTCCGTCTAGGCAAGGCAGTTTTCCTGGCGTGAACCAGAGTGGACTCATGGCTTCCAGCTCTCCCTACAGCCAGCCCATGAACAACAGCTCTGGCCTGATGAACGCACAGGCACCACCGTACAGCGTGACACCCTCCATGGTGAACAGCTCCACAGGTAACCCCGGGGGCCCCCTGCTCTCCCTCTCTCTCCCTCTCTCAGGCCTCCACCAGCAAGCGCATCCAGGCAACTCGAGCCGGCACATCAGGTGGTGAACGCATGTTCCATGTTCCGGGACCACAGGCTGTGTGTCAGTGCACACACTCAGTTCCCTTTGGTGTGGGAATTCCCGGGAGATCTCGGAATGGAAGTTCTTCCCTGGGTAGTGGCAGAGTTCGCATAGACAAGTCACACTCCGAGTGGCAAGGCGACAGTGCTGGGGGTGTGCTTATGATTCCTGTAGGGAACCTCTCCGAGGGCGGGCGTGGAAGCAGCTGGACTGGGAAACTGAAGCGCTGTGTCGTGTTTCCTCCTTGCAACTCACGTGGTCATCTCAGCCGTCACACGCCGTCGGCACGGTTGGCACATGCTGTCACCCCGAGAGCATGCGTGAGGCAGACCGCACGGTCTCCCGCGTCCTCAGGCACCCTGAGACCTCGAGCCGGGGCCTCACAGGGGACAGTGCAGTTTTTGTGCTATGGCTGAGGGCTGCGCGTTGGGATGGCAGCGGGGCCCGGCTGGTGGGTGCTCTCCTTCAGGTACGACAGGGCCGGGCTCTGCTGCTGTCTATTCTGAGGCTTTCAGGCGGGTCACTGGGGCAGCCGGGGTGCGGCTCTCCCGATCACCTGCTCCCACGTGCACCGCCCTCTGCCGCCTTCCTGGCCTCCCCAGAAGCACGGGCTTCCCTGCGGGTCAGAGCTGGCCTGGGCAGCCTGGGCTTCTGCCTGGCCGGCTTGGGGTCTGGCCCCAGAGTGGCATTCCCTGGTGCTCGTCTCTAAAGGCTGATAAAAGACGAACGCATAGAAACTCGTTGTGAACATGGAAGTGCGTACGCAGGTGCTTCCTCATCGCCACCGCAGCTGTGAGATGAAGGTGGGAAGCAGCCTGCCCGCTGGGCACCTCCTCCCCATCTGGTGAGCGCCACCGCGGGACGTGGAGGTTTGGTTGCCGTGTCGCATGTGGCTGGCCTGCTGAAATCAGGGACTCCAGAGCTTTGGAACTGCACAGTAAATACCTACTACTCGCAATGCTCATTTCCATTCTTTCGGACCCCAGAGCCAGAAAAATAACCAGCAACAAACAGATGGCACAGCGCCCTGTCTCTGAAATTTCTGCATTCCTGAAGGAGTAGCCGACGCCATGGAGACCCACAAGTCTCTCTTTGCTGTTACTACTTGGATGAGTCGGCTCTTGGTTATTTCCTGCAGGACAGATCTGTTCAGGGAGCGGCCGTATCATCACAGTGTTTGGCGTGGGGTTGTAGTATATTTTTATTACATTGTGCATTTTGAAATGTTGAATTTTTAATAATTTAAACATGTATCAGACTTTTTCCCTCCATGTTTATACGATTTTATTTGGGCTTTATTAAGTCAAAAGCTGCCTGGTGGAAAGGGAGTCGGTCACGCAGTACTCACTGTGTGTTCATTGATAGGGACCTGAGAAGCTGCCCTGTGTGCTGCAGTCTCCGAGGGAGACGGAGCCACATGGGAGCTACCACTGTAGCACGTGCTGAGAGTGTGGGCCTGCAGGGGCAACGCACCAGACATGGCTTAGATCTTGGGGCCCGTGGAGGTAAATTACCAGCAGTGACAGCAAAGCATTTCTCCATCAAAGTCACATTTGGAGAAAGTGAAGATAATGCAGATGCTGGCCGCAGCTGGCAGGGGGATTTTCCCAACCTCGAAGCCAGTGCAGCCGGCATCCCAGCACTCTCACCACTGAGTTAAGACAGTGTGTTGTAAGTGGTGATCGGGACCAAAGAATAAATCCCCCTGTGTAGTGACAGATTGTTACAGGCGTCAGAGAGCGGCCGATTATTTCAGTGGAATCGGGGGAGTGTGCATGTGGCGATCACTTCTTCACTTAGAAGACGGGGCAGGTAGGATGGTAAGCAGGGGGCACCCTTCCCTCTAAAGGGGCTTTTTTTGGAGGGGTAGGGGCTGTTTTGTTTAGACCATTTGGGTTAAAAGCTTAGAATGATATATTGCTATGGGCACAATTACAGATCACGTGTGACCTTGTCAAATACAGCCTTACACGATAGCATGTTGTCGGTTGGTTGGGTTTTACTTGTGTGGCGCGTAATGCCCGGCAGTCACACCCGCGTCCGCCTTTAGATTGGCTTCTTACAGTCCGAATGCAAGCACTGATGCCTTCCGCCTGGGGGCTCCCTGTGCTCGCCTCTCGCAAGCTGCCGTGCAGAGCAGCCCCTGGGTGGAGAGGGAGCGGCCCCATCGCGCTGTGGCCAGGCCTTTCTCAGGGCCCTTCCTGGGCGTGGCAGCAGCAGCACCAGAGCCGCTCCCATGGCCTCGGAAGGTAGGAGCCACCACTTCCGGCTCTCCCGGCATGCTGGTCCACGTGGAGAGCCCCAGGCTCCCAGGCTGGGTCCGGGCCCTGCGTGCCTAAGCCCCTCCGGGTCCTGCTGCCAGTGGAACATGCCGAGTTAGAGGCATGTTTCCCAGACGCATCCTGGCAGGCTGGCCGCAACCTCGTGTGGCATTAGCTATTTCCCAGGCAGTTTATTGTTCGGAAATTAAGCAAAAAGCTGTTCAGCGCTGTGCCTGGACTGCAGAGCTGCTGGGCAGCAGAGGAGGGTCTGCGTCACTGGCACCATGGCGGACGCCGTTGCGGGCTTTTCTGTTTCTCTGCAGGCTGTAAGCTGACAGCTTTAGGTGGACTGGGCCTCCCCTCCCCACCGCCAGCCACCCCTGCCACCCCTGAATACAAAGGACTCTAGAAACGAAGAAAACCAGATCTCTTAAACGGAGGCCAGGCCCTAGCACGCAGCTGCTGCGGACTGCAGGGGGCGGGGACGTGGGGCAGGAGCCCCCCACCCCTGCGGCCTGTGGAGCTCCGGGAGCGCTTGGGGGCTTCTCTCCCATCTCTTGCACGTGTGATGTTCACATGTGCCACACATGCAAGCTGGCGCACACATGCGCAGGAGCACACGCAGAGACAGCCCCTTGCACACCAGAAGCAGGAATCCACGTGTGAGCGGGCAGACTGCTGTGAAGAGAGGAGGACTGCGTGTGTGCCTCCGAGGCTGCTTCCCTTCTTCCGGGAATGATGCCGCCACCTCGTCAGGACACGGCAGGAAGCCGGAAGAGACAGGAGCAAATGCTGAAGTGCCGTCGTCCTCACGTCCTGCGTTCTCGGTGTCCTTTCTGAGTGTGTTAAGTGCAGGGTGGAGAGGCTGCCGTGGGGCCATGGCCCACACTCATCTGAGAAGTCATGCCTGCTCCTCCCTCTGACTGGCGGAGCCGGAGCCGAGTGCGGGACATGCGTTTGCAGGCCTCCCGCAGCTCTGCAGTCTCTTTTTGTGCCTGCGCTTTCCATACTGGATCACTGCTGTCCACAGCAGGAGGAGCGGCGCCCTGATTTAGCGCGTCCTTAGAAGACGAGGGGGTCTGTCTTTTCTGGGAAAGGAGACAACTAGTGGCCCTGGAGCCCCAGTGCCCACTGCCCAGGGCGGCGTATGCTGTGCGCGGTGATTCATTGAGAATTCTGGTAAGAAGTCAGAAGTGAGCGCTGCACCAGAAAGAAGGGCGCTGGGGAAGCCGCAGAGCCACAGGCGGGAGAGACCTCTGGTCCGTCTGCGACAGGCCGATGGCCACCATCAGGCAGAAGTACTGCACGCGGCTCCTGCTCTGAGTCCGTCCTTGTCTGTCTCTCAGGTGCCGCTTTGTCTCCCTCCTTGCACGTCCAGAATGCTCACTTAAAATACCCAAGAGAATGGAGACACGGGAGGCTTTCAGAGCAGTATCTGTGCTTATACGCATGGACGTCTGGTTTTTAAATCCATCGCTAATTACCATAGTACTCATTTATATACTTAAAAATTGCTCTTCTGTACATTGAGTGAACACATATGAAGTAGGCACTGTTGGTACATCCAGACATAAGATATCGGCAAGGCCTGAGGTTCCAGCCATGGGGCAGCACAGGCCATGCGTGCGAGGCTTTCCCGTACACTGGAATCCAGCGCTGGCTGGCTGCCGTCGCTGCTGACCCGCTCTGCAGAGCCAGCCAGCCCCTCTCCTCACACGCGTCCTGCTTTGTTAGCCTCCCTTTCTTCTAGAAAGGCTGTTTTAATGGGCAGGTTTACTAATTCATATCTTGTTGGACCCCAGAGACAAATCTGCACGAAAGCAACCAGCACTCTGAGCAAGGCGGTCTTCGTGGTGTAATCTCTCTCAGCTGCTTTTTTGAGGTTTCACACATTCACAAAAATAACAGCGTTTTTAGCTGATCCCAATAGATTTTTCTCTGCAGCTGCATCACTTGAAAAAGCTTTTTGTTCCAGTTCTTAAAGTCTAAGTATTGAAAGTAATTTGGGGGGGAAAAAAAGAAAACCATCCCAATTATGATTTGTGTGTGTGGTGATGACTGTAAGGGCTGGCCAGGCTGCAAATGGGCTTTGAAACCCCAGCGAGCCCAGGGAAGCACAGGGCTTCCACGTGCGCCGTGGAGGGCACTGCTGCCGACGCGTGGCACGTGGCCGGGCAGGCATTTTTTGGCAGGACCTGTGGTCTCAACCTGCAGTGATGCTAACGATATTAGCAAATTAGCACCACGGAGCTTGCCAGCTAATTCACCAGAGCCTGCTCTCGCTCTCACTGCTGTAATTAAAACTAATTATTTTCTAAAACATAGTAATACATGAATATGTGTGATAATCATTTTGTAGTGGGCAATCTGTAGAGCCTTTTTTTTAATGCTCCCCCTTCCCGGCCCGGGCACATGGTGCTCCGGGTGTCCTGCCTGGGTGGGGCGGCACTGCCATCTGCACATAGTGGCATGGGCGCTGTTGGGGAAACCTTGGTAGATTCTCCTTGGCCTGGCAGTGTTTCCTGGTTTCCACTCACTCCCAAGACTCGCCGTCCTCTCCCTGTGCCTTCCTCCCACCCCTCTTCCTCACTCGGACTCCTCACACATCTGCTTGCTGTCTCGCTCGCCCCTGCAGCCCAGCGCCGCGCAGATGGTTCGCAGTGGGGCTCTGTAGGAACTCAGCTGTGTGTTCCCTGGATAGCTGCACCATCCCCTCCTGCAGCCTTGTTCTGCCTTTCCCGAGCGCTCTCCGGCCCTATTTTTAACCTAAGCTGCCCGTGAGAAGCTGCAGTAGCCGTGTCCCAGTCAGTGCGGTTCCCTGGTGAAACCCTCGCTCTGACGCCTGGGTGCAGGAAGCAGCCCTGGCTCTGGTGCTGAGGCCCGGGGTCAGCTGTGTGCTGGACTGCACAGATTCCTGCCCCACTGCAGGATCGTTAGAAATGCCTCCCTCTAGAAACACGGTTTGATGATTGATTTTCAGGGCATCTGCTATGCTGGTCTTCCCTTACCCTTAGACCGGACCACATGCAGTAGATAAGCTTTTCAAAAGAAGCCATGTGGAATGCCAGATACTTTTACAAAGCATAGAGTATTTGAATTTAGGAAATGAAGGCAGCCCAAAATCCTCTAGTGTCCAGGTAAAAGATGAACAAGTCCAGCATTTGCTTCCAGCACCTGATGTGCAGGGTACACAGCTGGCTGTGTACACACTTGTGGCATACTCTTTTAGTGCATACATAATCTTGGGGAAAAAATACTGTTGATAAGAGTTGACCTTCAGTGGCTTGGGTCTCGCGCGTACCGACCGAGTGCCTTCAAACAAAAGAAAAAGGATCGCCAGGGTGGGGTGCTGTTTAGATTTCAGAAATCGGTGTGCTGCACATTACAGTTTCTTTTTTCTTTTCTTCCTAGAAGGGAAGTTCAAGTGCCCCCTGCCTCTTGCGCTGGCACAAGAGCGCGGTGTGACACGTCACACACGTACAATCCTAAACTCTTTCTCCTGTTTTCGATTAGCATCTATGGGTCTTGCAGATATGATGTCTCCTGGTGAATCCAAACTGCCCATGGCTCTCAAAGCAGATGGCAAAGAAGAAGGCCCCGTGCAGCCGGAGAGCAAGGCAAAGGTACTCCCTGTCCCCCCGCACGCCCGCGGCTCTGCCTGGCAACCAGCTGCCGTGCTGCTCTCTCGGGGGCTGGCTACGCTTGTGTTCTCAAGTGGTTTCTTTCCTGCATGCCTTTGTTCTGTGCCACATGTGCCTGGTCTTGTCTTCCCCCACCCCGTTCATGGCGTGGATCTGAAAGTTACTAGTTCTTATGGCATTAACTCATGGCGGGGGCGGGGGGCGGCGGGACAAGACCCCCTAAGAGAGAGCTGCTTTGGGGGTGGGGAGAAGAAAGGGGTCCTGCCTGGTGTCCACACTTGCAGCCATTGTCCTCTGCCTTCAGTTTGTAGCTTCCTGTTTGGGCCGCCTCAGCAGCAGCAACATACTTAATATTTTGCTTTCCTGCCTTATTTGATAAATAAGGTGAACCGCTTTTTTTTCCTTTCTTTCTCTCATAAGGGGTAACCCATGCTTACCATTCCATGTCAGCTTGAAGGAAGCATGGTGGCTTGGTGGCCGTCCGCAGCACCCGCAAACTTACCCAATGATTCCTGATGATGAATGTTGTTTTAATACCTTCTTATCTGTGTGTTTCTGTGTGTGTGTGTGTGTGTGTTTGTGCTTGTCTTTATATAATGTATAAAAATCAGTCTGTTAAATGGATGTGATTTTTGTTATTTCAAATAAAGTTTGCCCTACCTTTGTCATTTTTTTTTTATTCCTCTACCACAGGATAGCTACAGCTCTCAGGGTATTTCTCAGCCCCCAACCCCAGGCAACCTGCCAGTCCCTTCCCCAATGTCCCCCAGCTCTGCTAGCATCTCCTCATTTCATGGAGATGAGAGCGATAGCATTAGCAGCCCAGGCTGGCCAAAGACTCCATCAAGCCCTGTAAGTGGCTCTGGTTGTTTTGTTTTTTGTTTTTGTTTTTTTGGTTATGTTTTTCTGGGGTTTTTAGATAATTGATTAATTCTACTTGAATGCTTGCTTGTGTATTTGTTTTATAAGGCTTTTTCTTCGTTATATATCCATGAAAGGGTTTTCTGTGTAAGTAACTGGGTGAGGAGCAACAGGAGTACAGGTGGTGTGCATCCCAGAGCAGCTGGCGGGAGGCCTCTGCTCTGTTCGCACGGGCCCCGGACCTGCCGTGTGCAGGGCTGTTCTGTCTAAAGCCTCCCATTCCAGAACGGCCCACTGGAAACAAGGAGCTCAGCTTTGCAGTCTGAGCGCCTGCCCTGCGGTTCAGCCCAGCCTCAGCCGGCTTTGTTTTCCAATCAGTCTCTGAAATTAACAAGACTGCTAAAGAAACATTAGTGCCTGTGTGTGCAGGTGAACCGTGTACTTTCCTCAAAACCAGTTGAAATTCTGGGCAGAACTGCTGGTAATCTTGAAATGAAGTGTTGGTGTCCATGATGACATACAAGTGACCGAAAGGGGCTGTGCCCATCCGGGGATGTGTAGCCTTACTATGCTTCTGACCATAGAGTTGGGCTGTGTTTTTCTGCTAAGGAAATTCATTCGGTGCCATTTAAAAAGAAATGCAATGATGCTGCAGTAACCTTTATTTTACGGTCATATGGGGAATCAAAAGATCTTTAAAAAAGAAAAAAAACCCACGCAACGTGCAATTACTAGCCGAGAAGGCTTAATTAACACACTAACTTTTGTAAGGCGATGTGTGGAAGAACACAGCCAGGAGAAACGAGGCTGTGCGGGATGCGACACTCGCACCCCGCACCCCGCGGAGGCTGCGCTTAATTAGGCGCTGCCTCAGCCAGAGAGCGTGGCCCGGTTCTTCCTGGGGACAGAAGGGGCACCATGGGCTCCCTGGCCTGAGACCCTGCCCGGCTACGCAGCGCCCCCCAGCAGCCTTGAACTTCTGGGTGGGGGAGGCAGAGCCGAGCCAGGGGCCCAGAACTGGGATGCTATCTGCTTTGAGTCTCAGAAGGCAGCCAGCACTGTGTGGTTTGTTTTCCCATATTCTACCCTTTTTTGTGTGTTCTTTTTTCTTTTTTTTTTTCCTTAGTTAGAGAAAGTATTTTTGAATTAGTAATATTCTGAAGTTTTAACAGTTAGCTTCAAACAACTTCCAAAAACATGTATTTGTTGGCCCAGGGAGAATCTCAGAAGTTGAAAATAATGATCTTTAAGACAAGGTAATAATTATTAAAGACGAAAACAGTCTCCAGGGATACTTCAGAAAGTCAGTGGGAAAATGGAATTAAATTTATTTTGGTGCAAAAAATGTTTGAAATCCACACATAGTTTTTGCATAGCATATATTTTGAAGACCCCCTTAAAGGTAAAATGTTTCAAAACTCATCTTTTTGGTTTCCACATCAGATTATCTCTATCCAGTGAGTCCTGTAAGAAACTCTTTACCAAAATTCTATAAATATAAAGGGGAAAAAAAAACTGAGTTACTGACTCCGTTTTCTGGTTATCATGCAATTATAGTTGGAATTCAATGTTCTTTTGTAACTATTTCTACATAGATTATCACGGTTTGCTGTTTAAGAGTTTACAAGCAGGGCAGACGCTTGGCACAGTGGTTAAGCCCCCCCACATCCTGTATCAGAGTCCCAGCTCCGCTTCCAGTTCCAGTTTCCTGCTCAGGCACCTCCTGAGAGGCCGTAGTGATGGCCCAGGCTGTGTCCCTGCCACCCCGTGAGAGACCTACATGCGGCTCTGGGCTCCTGGCTTGGGCCTGGCCTATCCCTGGCCGTTGTGGATACTTGGGAGTGAACCAGGAAATAGAAGATACCTCTCTCTCCCTCATTCCTTCTGTCCCTCTCCCCCTCCCCCTCCCCACTTTCAAACGACAATAAAGAGCATTTTAAAAAATAATTTACAAGCAAGCCTAGGGCTCCCGTGGTAGTATAGGTAAACACAAGAGAAGCTGTGCTTTGCTATAGAAGGTGCTAGACCAAGGCTGTGCATTGAGAAAGTAGCCACTGTTTAAATGAGCTGCTGATTCAGGCCTGTGGAAGCAGCGGAGCGGAGACTCGGCACCCCAGCGCCACATGTGCCTGCAGTCGGGAGCTCTTGCCCGCTCCTCCTGAGATGCCCCTCAGTGCATAGCTGCACGTGGCTCCCGCCAGTGTGCCTCGCAGCGCCTGTGCCCACAGACCTGGGAGGGGCGAAGAGATGCTCTGAGCTTTGACGTGTCCCTCTTCACCAGCCCTGATTGGTTACAGAACGCTCGGAGCAAAGATACACGTTTGTTCGTACACAGACGGACATTCCCAGGCATATGGTAGAGACTGGCACAGTGTGAATCAGCCGGGAAGACAGACAGACATACTCGCAGGCTGAATGGGGGTGTCAGCGAGGAAGGTTCTGGGGCGCCGTGAGAGCGGGCTGTAGCAGCTTCCGTTCCTTCCTGCCTCCACTGCAGTCCCAGAGCCGTAGGGCGCGGTGTCTACACCTGCAGCCGTCCTAGGCGGTCCTGAGTGACCTGCAAAAGTTACTCCCTGGCTCCAGTTTGCTCACCCACTGTCCTCCCAGGGAGTGGCTCGTGAAGACGGTCGTCCAGACATTCCATTTGGCTGAGGTCCCTGTGGGGCCATCAGTAATAAGAGCGATAATGTGTGTGCTGTCCGTCTACTGAGCCTTTTCTGTTCGGACACCCAGATGCTAACTCTGGGGATAATTTAGCTGGTGAGCAAGCTGGGAGTTTGGGAACAGAGATGTCAGGGAGCAGCGGACACTTCGCTTTCTCAGCCCTTGGCTGAGAATGCTGCTAGACTTTGCACATCTTTTTATTTTATTTTTTAAAATTATTTATTTGAAAGAGTTACAGAGAGAGGTAGAGCCAGGGAGAGAGGTCTTCCATTCTGCTGGTTCACTCCCCAAATGACTACAACGGCCAGAGCTGAGCTGATCTGAAGCCAGGAGCCAGGAACTTCTTCCAGGTCTACGTGGGTGCAGGGGCTCAGGGATTTGGGCCACCTTCTCCTGCTTTCCTACCCACAGCAGAGAGCTGGATCAAAAGAGGAGCAGCCAGGCTGGCGCCGCGGCTCACTTGGCTAATCCTCCACCTGCAGTGCCAGCACTCCGGGTTAGTCCCAGTTGGGGCGCTGGATTCTGTCTCAGTTGCTGCTCTTCCAGTCCAGCTCTCTGCTGTGGCCTGCGAGGGCAGCAGAGGATGGCCCAAGTGCTTGGACCCTGCACCCACATGGGAGACCAGGAGGAAGCACCTGGCTCCTGGCTTCAGATCAGTGCAGCGCACCGGCCACAGCAGCCATTTGGGGGTAAACCAACAGAAAGGAAGACCTTTCTCTCTGTCTCTGTCTCTTTCTGTCTCTCTCTCTCTCTCTCTTTCACTCTCTCACTCACTCACTGTCTAACTCTGCCTGTCAAAAAAAAAAAACAAAAACAAAAACAGCCAGGCCTCATCGGCTCCATATGGATGCCTGCACTGTAGGCTGGGGCTTTACCCGCTATGTCAACAGCGCCGGCCCCTGCACATCTTCATCACCCATTTCAGCATTCATAGAACAAATACCTCTCAAAGACTTAAGTGTGCAGAACCTGTGCCAAGCGTTGGCAATTCCGAATCAACCCTTCACACACCACATACACAGCCCCAAGTAGAATACTGCAAAGGGAGAATAGAATAGGTGCTGGTAGAATAAAACTGGGTCTCTGGATTAGTGAGCAGGTCTCAGGGGCCTGAGCACTTCCCTGTCTGTAGGTGCATGACCCTACATTGCAGCACCATAAAAATGCTTTTTGAAGTTCTAAAACTTAGGAAAAATAAGACAGATTTAAAACTACTACCTTTACATTTTTCTAATTTTAGGACAACAAATTGAGATGAGTGAGAGTTAATTAACAAAGAAAGATGAGGGAAATACGCAGGCACACTGAGTAAGTCATTACCCGAGGCCTGTTTCAAGTCCTTTCAAAGGCCGGAGCAGGCGCCGCGCGCTCAGTGCGTGATCAGCTGCTGGTGCGCTTCTGCGCTGCAGGCGGGGCCAGAGTCGGCAGGTGGATCCCCGAGGCAGCGCACTCCCTTCAGATGAAGTGAGTGCCGTCCTGCTCTTGTTCTTAGACTGACGCTCAAACTTCTATCTCTGACTCCTTCACAAGTGAAGTGGAAAGGGCGGTTGTTCCCAAAGTGCTTTTGGGTGATCACCCCTGTTTCCCCATGTTCTTATTATGTCAGATTTTTTGGAAAAACACTGGGTCCAATTTTCCAGTGTGCTTCCCCAAAAGACACACACACACACACACACACACACACTAGCATTTAGAAACCTCCAGAGGGGCTCAAGTCCAACTCTGCTTCTGATTCCAGTTTCCTGCTAATGCACACCCGAGAGGCGGTGGTGACGGCTCCATACTTGAGTCTCTGCCATGTCCACACAAGACCCAAATAAAGCTCTGTGCTCCTGGCTTTGGTTTGGCCCAGCCCTAGCTGTTGTGGGCATTTGTGGAGTAAACAGTGCATGTGTGGACGATTGACGATTGCTCTCCATCTCTCTCTCTCCCTCCCCGCCCCACTCTTTCTGTCCGCCTTTCCAGTACACCCTCTGAAAGAACCCTCCAGAAACTGGCTGTCCTGTTTATGATGGCCACGCTGCAGGAGTGTCACAGCAGTGTAAGAATCTGAGAAGTGTGTTAGAATATGTCTTTCCCGGCCGGGCATTCCTTGCGTGTCCGAATATGGAAGATAAAGTTGAAAGCCTTACCATTTGGTGTGTGCCGTTTCCCGTGTTTTAGTGTACACATAGGTATATGCACGCATGTATATAAATGTGCCTGTCTGCGTGTATATATCATTTTAAGCTCTTTCCAAAGTGATTTTAATTTTTTAGGCAGAGCAGGGCTCCCATCCACCGATTCACTCTCTGAATGTGTACAACAGCAGGACTGGGCCGAGGCCACAGCCAGGAGGTGGGACTTCCATTCGGGTCTCTTCTGTGGGTGGCAGGACCTCAGCTGCTAGAGTTAGGGGCTGGAGCCAGGACCCAAACCCAGACACTCCGGTGTGGGACACGGTGGCTCCACTGGGCCAAACTCCCTGAGCACCCAAGTAGATGTAAAGAGAGCACACTGTTTTTCTGTAGCCTACCATTCTACATGTGTTATTTATATCAGCTACATGGCCCGTTTTTGTGTATTTGATAGAAAGAGCATGCCTTGGTAATTCTAAGGCTGAAGACGTAAGATCTCAGCCTGAAGCTCTGGAGAGTGGGGAGATGAGGCTGCCTCTTCCCAGGGCTTGGTTCTCGGCCCCTCTTCCAGGCCTGCTGGACTGCAGGGGAGGCTGATAAACAAGGTCACATCTCACCTCCGTGGCTGGCATGCTGTCAGCCCCTCCCCCATTTCAGCAGTGTGTTCACCGTTACATTAAGCTAAAGAAAGAGAAAAGGAAACTCACCAAGTGCTCTGTCTAAAATAGCAGATACATGTTGCAAATGATAACCTAGGGCCTAGTCACAACTAAATGTTCAGGAAGTCTTTAGTAAGAACCTAGAAGTGATGTTGCCCAATAACCCTGGTGTTAAAGCTGCTGTCACAAAGGCATATAGACTAGGGCAAGGGGAGAAGCACGGTTGGGCTGCTGCGGGCCGTTCACGGCTGCCCACCTGCCTCACAGGATCCAGGGAGCGGGCTGCAGACATGCGGTGGCCACGACTCCGGCAGACACAGCAGGCCTCAGGAGCACAGAGGTGACCGCGTGTGTTTATCCGGCGTCACACTCAAGGTGCGGGACAGCGCGTGATTGAAGCGCGGATCCCACCTGCGAACTGATGCCGAAGCAAGAGCAGGTCAAGGAATCTGTTCAAACAATGAAATGACCCGAGAGCGTCAGTAAGGGTGCACGTTGATGTCCCTGTTTTCACACCCCCCCCCAAAAAAAAAAAAAGTAGGAGGGCTGCTTTTGGTTTTCTGGGCCCTGCAATGCTACTTTTTTGTGGGCTTTGTAACTCACTGGAGTGGCTCAGTGAGCCAGGGCCCTTTTCACTTTGAAACACAGCATTGTAATTGTCATTGCAATTTTGCCTTCTGGGATTCAACGCTTATGTCATAGGAAAAAAGGTTTCTGTTGAAGTGTATGAAAGGGGGAGTTGGGCTCTTGGTTTAAAGTTAAAGTAAATTCTTAATTAAGAAAGTGTATAGTTTGTGCCTGAACTAGTAGCCTTCATTCCTTACTGTTGTGTGATAGCAGTAGTTTTGAGTCTCTTCTCCCCTGTGTTTGATGGCTCATCACCGTCTCCTCGCTCTTCCCTTCCCTCTGCCGCCCATGCCCCACCTCCACATGCTGCTCCCGGGCACCAGAAGTCCAGCTCGTCCACCACCACCGGGGAGAAGATCACCAAGGTGTATGAGCTGGGGAACGAGCCCGAGAGGAAGCTGTGGGTGGACCGGTACCTCACCTTCATGGAGGAGAGGGGGTCCCCTGTCTCAAGTCTGCCTGCGGTGGGCAAGAAGCCCCTGGACTTGTTCCGACTCTACGTCTGCGTCAAAGAGATCGGGGGCTTGGCACAGGTGAGAACGAGAGACGAACGGGTGAATGCAGAGGCCGTGTTGGTGAGGTAGGAGAGCCACCCGGTGTTTATTCTCACAGAGGAGAAGCTGAGCCTGCAGGCCAGTCACCTCCTGGCTGGGGCCCAGGCCATGCTGTAGGGAGGACGAGGGCGGAGCCCTGGCTCTGCTGCCCATTCACAGGGTCGTCCGCTTGACCCCCATTTCCTCATCTGTAAGGTGAGACTGTTGGGCTCTAGATTTTTCTTTAGGTTCCCCGAAAGCTCTAGGATTCTCTGGAATCTTCCAGAAGTTAATGGTAGATACTCCAGAAAAGTTTTGCGCATGATTATCTGAATCTAGATTTAAATCAAATTCATTGTTTCCCTCTATCTAGAGCAACTTATCAAAAGAGTTAAGCCGTCCTTGAGTAAAGCCTTCGCACCCAACGGCCTGGGCCTGTGGCAGGCTGGCCTGGAGCAGGGCAGCAGAGGCGCTGGCCTTCCAGACTCTGCAGCTGCCTGATACTGCCCACCCACCTCGCACAGGGAAGCCTGTTAAGTCTCGTGCCCGGACCCAGTAGCCCTGCCCTGTCCTGAGCAGGAGTCTGGTTGGCATGGACGTGCCCTGCACAGAACAGGGGACAGGCTACAGACATGTGAGTCCTCACTGTGGCCTTTGGCTTTTCAAATACCTACAAGACACAGGGTTAGCAGCCCCAAAGAACAGAGGACGCTGCTGTGTGACAGTGCGCTGCAGGGCCTGGAGGCACGTGCAGATCTGCCTGATTCTGAAACAGTGTCCTGTCTTGCAGAAACTCTAAAGCCCGCTATTTAAAACAAGCGTTAGGAGGCTTTAATCTGCAAGCATCAGCCAGGGCCTGCCCTGGTCTCCATGCCGCAGCTCGGGGATGCTGAGTTCTGGGGTGCAGACCTCACGAGGGTGGGCAGCAAAGCAATCGACTGGGTGCGCCCGGGCTGCCCGCCTCCCCTCAGCCCCAGACTCCTCCGACCGTCCTCCCTTGCAGCGAGCCTGTGACACGGTTGGATGCTGCTTATCTGTCCCATGCAGCACAGGCCGTGTCTGGCTGCGCACCCTGACTGGCTCAGCAGGACATCTGTTGCTGCCTTAGCCGTCAGGGTGACTTGAGTGCGGCTGGTGGCATTGTCCTATGTGTCCCATCTTGCTCTCTGCTGAGTGGGCATCAGGTGTGCTTGGGAGCAGGTTCTGCGCCCCCACGGCGATGGGCTGAAAGGCTCGCTGCACAGGCGTCCCAAGCGGCACTTCTCACTGGTTCCCAAGGCAGCCCGCGGGCCTGCTGCCCTCTTACACAGAGTGCCAAGAGGCGTTGCTGGGACCATGCTCCGGTCTGTGTATCGTGCGCCATTTAGTACTAAGTAAATGGACACAGAGAGCTGTGCAAGAAAGTTCAGGTCCAGAAACTCAGAATTTCATGAGTACTGTCCCCTTAGCCCTAAGGCGCTGCCGACAGGAGGCGTCAGAAGCAGAGCCTTCCCCCAGTACTTGGGGGTCTGGCCCTTTGGTCCTGTGTTCCCAAGTGGCCGCCAGCAGGTTCAAAGAAGACCTCAGTCTTCACACACCGCTGCAGGATTTCTCTTTCTTCTTCTCTTTTCTGCATTGTGTTGCATCCAGCCTGGGTGTGGGTAGCGACACCAGCTGGTCCTGCCTGGCACGCAGGGAGGTGGCCGCTGCCCTGTGGGCTGAGCTGGGGGCTCAGCAGAGCCCCGCCGGAGGGCAGGGTCACCATGTCAGGCTGTTCAGTCAAGGAACTTCACCCACCTTGCATGGGGTGCCACCCTTGCCCAGCTCCCCAGGAGAGCCCCCGGAGAGAGGCCAGAGGCCTGCAGTCACAGCTGGTTCTGGGAGCTTGTGGCTGTTGGAAGGAAACATTACTTTTCGTATCAATGTCAATTGCAAATCGGTGCTGCTGCTGCTGCTGCTGCTGCTACTGCTTTGTGAATTGAGTTTTAGACACTTTCTTTCTTAATCAGAGGTGGGCTGGGGGTGAGTGTGGGCAGGGGTGTCCGTTGGCTCAGAGACATCGCTGCTCTGGAAGGGGTGAGGCAGCAGGAGATAGAGCAGCAGAACCTCCGAGCCGGGCTGTTTTGTAGGTATCAGCAGGTTCCTTAATGGCTTTGTAACTGTAAATGCTGTCTGTGCACTACTGAGTGGGAGTAATGAGCATTAGTTAAAAGAGGCAAATGAAAAAAAGTAAACCAAGACATTAAGTGCTTTTTTTGTCTCCTGGCTTTAAACAAGCCACTTTGCTGCAAACCAATGATCCTGGCATTTTTTTGCTAGGTTAATAAAAACAAGAAGTGGCGTGAGCTGGCAACCAACCTAAACGTTGGCACTTCAAGCAGCGCCGCGAGCTCCCTGAAAAAGCAGTATATTCAGTACCTGTTTGCCTTCGAGTGCAAGATCGAGCGAGGGGAGGAGCCCCCGCCGGAAGTCTTCAGCACCGGGGACACCAAGAAGCAGCCCAAGCTCCAGCCGCCATCTCCTGGTAAGTGACAGCGCTGCAGCTGCCGGCCAGGAAGGGGCGCCTCTGGTGGCAGTGAAGGGAGGAGGCTTGGGGCGCTTTGTTGATTGCACTGCGAGGGAAGAAAGCAGAACCGGGGCTGTTGCCGTTTCGCGCAGTACTTGAACGGCCCCATTCTTTGACTTTCCTTTACTTAGTCCAATAGACTTTGGAGCTCTGAGCGTTATTCCTGGCACAAGTGTTTTAAAATATTCCCGTACTCTGTACAGAAGAAGTAGCCACACGCACCTGTTTCATTACTTGTGGGCTGGAAAGGCCACCGCCCCAGCCTAGCAGCCGGCTGTGCCAGCCCTTCTTCCTCTCTCGAGGACACCCACGTTTGTATTTTAGCAAAATGAAACCTGCCTTCGGTTTTTAATGTGCCTGCCCGGCAAGGTCTCACTTTGGGGGAGTTCTGCAAGCTGTCAGGGTGCAAGCTCAGGGGGTCTCATTTCCGCAAGAGGCTATGGGGCACACGGTCTGACCCCCAAGTCAGCAGTCAGGGTTAGGCGGGTCACCTCAGTGCTCATCCACAAACCACAGGGCCAGGACTGCTACCCCCACCTCTCCGCACCTGTTGGAGACCCTGCCATTCTTCCCAGCCCTCCTGCTGGGCCCTTGTCCCACCTGTTAGGGTCTCACGTTCGAAATTCCCAAATGCTGCATTCAAGGAGTTGGTGTCCTCCTTGGATCTGTGCGGTGACCTCCCGCAGGTTAATCCCGCCGTTCTCTTGTCTCTGGCCGCCTCCTAGCCCCGTGACCTTGAGCGCTTCATTGTCCCCAGTCCCTGCACGTGAGACGGGGAGCCACGCATGTTGCTCCTGCTGGGTCGCCATCAGCCGTGTGTCCTGACACACGCAGCAGGTCACGCCGTGTTCATTTCATCCGCACAGCAGCCCGCTGCTGAGAGGCGTTGAGGTCCATGACAAAACAGAGATGCGGGGCCCCAAGGAGCTCGGTCAGAGCCGCATGGCTGGAGTAGGAGGCCTAACGGAGGCCCCAGCGAGGGCGCCTCGCAGGACCTGCCCTGTGACTGGTAGCAAGCTGACACACAGAAGCCCGGCAAGTCTCCCTAAGGCCTTCCTCCAGCTGCTGGCGCGTGACTGCCACCGGCAGACGTCTGAGGAGTCTCTTCAAGGGTGTCTGTGGAACACTCCAGGCCCCCAGTGCACTGTGAACGCACCTCCACTGAGGCCTGCAGGTTCCAAGTAGCACAGGCAGGACCCCGCCCTGAAAGAGCCGCAGCCCCAGCCGCTTCTGGCTTGCCCCAGGAGCCGGGGAAGCTCGTCTTTAGAGCCTCAGCATCACACGCAGTTCAGAGTGCGAAGCAGCGTTCGCGCAGCTCGGAACCCATTTTTCCAACACAAAACCCAGTGGGGTGTAGGACCCAACGTGGTGATGCCTGCAGGCTTGAGGGTGCACCTGATGGGCACCTGCGAGGCTGCACGAGGGGAGAGCGGCTCTGTCCGGGGGTTCCTGCCTCTCCCCAGGACTGCCCAGGGGGCGCAGATCCTCACCGGGCCATGGGCGCTTCCGCCCCTGCCCTCCTCCTGGGCAGCACGGCAGAGCCTGCGCGCAGATGGACATGGCCAGGACTGTGCTCCCAGACCAGACCTTGCCCTGCCCCCCTCGCCAGGTGCCCTCCCTGGTCCCCGTGCCGTCACTAAGGACGCTGTCCCAAAACACGCCCAGCAGAGAAGGGAAATAAAGTGACTCCCAGCTCTATGTCACAGCAGGGACTCGTGGATTTTTTGGCACTGGACTTTTGGGTTTATTATCTTATGAATCCACATTATTTTCATTCATGACTACACACACATTGTCCAGAAATCAATTCAGATCTCTAACAATTCAATCCATCAAGCTTCCCGTTCACATATAATTGAATATTTGATACTTCACAGAAATATCAAAAAGTATGTCTTCATTGGGAAACTTACAGTTTTAACAGGTTCATTGTGGTATGTAGGTACAGTTCTAAGAACGTAGTAATATTTCCTTTCTCCCTCCTACCCTCCTTCTTTCTCCCTCTTTTTTTTTTTTTTTTTGAGATAAAATATTTTGAATTTACATTAAAGTAAAAAGGCTTAATACTTCACCCAATAAGAAGTCTAACAAGTAAAGGGCAGAACGACCCTAGTTTGGTGAGAATACAGACAATGACTATAAACAATAGTTGAATGGAAAAATGGCCATTTCACCCATATACATACAGTAAATTTTAAAGTAATCACAGATCATTAAAACTGTAGAAGTGTAACATTCTTAACCATTGGTTTGACAGAGTTATGAAACAGAGTTTTACAAAACTGTATTTGCAGCAATACTGATACACACAGACATCCCGTGTGTGTTTGGCTTTTAGATTTTAGCTCCCACATATCAGGGAGAACATGCAGTGTTTGTCTTTCTGGGTCTGGCTTCATTCACTCAACATGATGTCTTCCAGTTGCATCCATTTTGCTGCAAATGACAGAATTTCATTCTTTTTTATATCTGAATAATATTCCGAGGTGTATATATGCCACATTTTGTTTATCTGTTCATCTGATGATGGACTCCTGAGTTGATTCCACATTGGGCTGTTGTGAACAGTGCTGCTATGAACATGGTGGTGCAGGTTCTCTTGGATACACTGTGTTCAAGTCTTTTGTGGACATACCCAGCAGTGAGAGTGCTGGATCATACGGCAAGTCTGTTTCTAGTTGTTAAGAAATCTCCCCATTCAGGTGGTTGGCTTTGTGGTATAACAGGTTAGGCCACCACCTGCGGGCATCCCACACGGGTGCTGGTTCCAGACCCGGCTGCTCTGCTTTTGATCCAGGCCCCTGCTCATGGCCTGGGAAGCAGCAGAAGATGGCCCAGGTGCTTGGGCCCCTGCACCCAGGCGGGAGACCCAGATGGAGTTGCAGGCTACAGCCACAGCCATTGCAGCTGTTTGGGGAGTGAACCAGTAGATGGAAGATCTCTGTCTCTCTTTGTCTTTCCCTTTCTCTCTCAGTAACTCTGCATTTCAAATGAATAAATTAAATCTTTAGAAAAAGAGAGAGAGAGACCTCCACACTGTTTTCCGCAGTGGCTGTGCTAATTTGTGTTCCCATCAGCAGTGGATAAGTGTTCCCCTTTGTCCATAGCCCTGCCAGCATTTGTTACTCTGTATATTTTGGATTTTAGCCACTCTCACAGGGGTGAGGTGATCCTGATGGCTAGTGATATTGAATCTTTTTTCATGTATTTGTTGGCCATTTGTATTTCTTATTTTGAGAGCTGTCTGTTGAAGTCCTTTGGCCATTTCTCAACTGGATTGGTTGTTTTTTTGTGTGTGCCATTTTTAAGTTGCATATATATTCAGGATATTAATATTTGCAAATATTTTTCCCAGTCTGTTGGCTGTCTCTCTACGTTATTGATCATTTCTTTTAATGTGCAGAAGCTTTTGAGTTTTAAATAGTGCCGTTTGTTTAGTTTTGTTTTTTGGCCTTTGCTCTGGGGGTCTTATCCAAGAAGTCATCCCCTATACCAACATCTTGGAGTGCTTTCCCTACCTTTTGTTCCAGCAACTTCATAGTCTCAGGTCTTAAATTTGGGTCTTTGATCCATCTTCAGTTGATTCTTGTATACGGTGAGAGTTGCAGATCTAATTTCATTCTTCTACATGTATACACCCTTTTGCCAGCTCCGTTTGTTGAAGAGATTAGCCTTACTACACTGTATGGTCTGAGCACTTTTGTCAAAAATCAATTGGCTGTATGTATGTGAACTAATTTCTGTGCTGTCTGTTCTGTTCCATTGATCTATCTTTTAGTTTTTATGCCAGTACCATGCTGTTTTAGTTACAGTAGCTTTGTAGTATGCTTTGAAGTCAGGTATTGTGATGCCTGCAGCTTGATTTTTCTTGTTCAGCATCACTTCAGCCATTCTGGGTCTTCTGTGATTCCACATGAATTTTAGGACTGCTTTTTCTAATTCTGTAAAGAATGCCATTGTATTTGGATAGGATTGCATTGAGTCTGTAGATTGCGTTGGGTAGTATGACATTTTCATGGTATTGACTCTTCCAATCTGGGAACAAGATATCTTTCCATTTGTGTGTGTCCTTGATGATTTCTTTCATCATTGTTTCATAATTTTCACTGTAGAGATCTTTCACCTCTTTGGTTAAATTTATTCCTAAAAATTTGATTTTTTTGTTTGTGGCTATTGTGAATGGAATTTCTTTCTCTGTGAGTTCATCATTAGCATACAAAAGAGTGACTGTTTTTTGTATGTTTATTTTGTGACTTGCAGCTTTACTGAATTGGTTTATCAGTTCCATAGCTTTTGGGTGGAGTGCTTAGGTTTCTCGTGTACCACATCGTGTCATATGCGAACATGGATCATTTGACTTCCTCATTTCCCATTCTGATGCCCTTTGTTTCTTTCTCCTCCATAATTGCTCTTGCTAAAACTTCTAGAACTGTATCAAATAAGAGTGAAGAAAGTGGACACCCTTGCCTTGTTCCAGATCTGAGGGGGAGTGCTGTCAGCTTTCCCCCCATTCAGTATGATACTTGCTGTTGGTTTCTGATACGTAGGCTTTATAATGTCAAGGAATGTTCCGTCTGTATCTGCTTTTTGGAGGGTTTTTTCCTTGAAGGGGTGTGCAATCTTATCAAACGCTTCTGCATCTGTTGAGATGACGTGTGGTTTCCATTCTCCATTGTGTTGATGTGGTTTATGACATTTATTGATTTGCAAATATTGAACCACTTTTGCATTTCTGGGGTAAATCCCACGTGATAATGGTGTGTGATCTTTTGATGTGGTTTCGGATTTGATTTGCTAGTGTTTTGCTGGGAGTCCTTGCACGAGTGTTCAGTAAGGACAGAGGTCTGTAGTTTTCTTTTCCTATCTTGTCTTTGGTTTTGGTATCAACATCGTGCTGGCATCATAAAAAGGGTTTGGTAGGAGGCCGGTGCTGCGGCTTACTAGGTTAAACCTCCCCC